CTGTGTTGCCCAGGCTGGAGTGTAGCTCCTCGGCTCACCACAGCCTCAAACTCCTGGGCTCAGGCAATCTTTCCACCTGAGCCTCACAAGTAGCACAGACCACAGGCCCTCACCACCACTCCAGTTAATTTTAAAATTATTATTATTATTATTTTGAGATGGAGTTTCGCTCTTGTTGCCCAGGCCGGACTGCAATGGCACGATCTCTGCTCACTGCAACATCTGCCTCCTGGGTTCAAGCAATTCTCCTGCCTCAGCCTACCGAGTAGATGGGATTACAGGCATGGGCCACCATGCCCGGCTAATTTTGTATTTTTAGTAGAGACGAGGTTTCTCCATGTTGGTCAGGCTGGTCTCGAACTCGTCACCTCAGGTGATCTGCCTATCTCAGCCTCCCAAAGTGCTAGGATTATAGGCGTGAGCCACCATGGCCGGCTTAAATTATTATTTGTAAAGAAGAGGTCTCCCTATATGGCCCAGACTGGTCTTGAACTCCTGTGCTCAAGCGATTCTCCCACCTCAGCCTCCCAAAGTGCTGGGATTACAGATGTGAGCCACTGAGCCTGGCCCTTTTCTTCTTCAGAGGTCCGGGCCCCACCCTCAGGCCTCCACCCTTTCCCTCCAACCTTGGAGATCTGAGCCACTTACGTCGGTCCAGCCAGCAGTACTCAGAAACCATCTCTTTGTAGGCAGGGTACCGGCCGGTCTCCTGGGGAGGGGATGGTGGGCACAGGAGGGAAGGGGGAGCAGTGAGGACGGAGAGTGAGAATGGGGTGGGGATGACACGATGGGAGTAAACGTTCAACTTCATTTCTGTCCTCCAAATTCATCATGCTCTGGCCATACAGGTCACTTTCTTTCTGAACAGGCCAAGTTCCTTTGTACCTCAGGGCCTTTGCACCTGCTGTTCACTCTGCCTGGAGGCCACCCTGACCCCAAGATACAGGGGCCTTCCTGAATTACTCCATTCCATCTCTCTATTAATTTCCTTAGAGCATTTGTCAACATCTGCAAGCATCTAGTTTATTGATCTGTCTCCCTCCAGTAGCAGAGAACTTATCTGTCCTGTTCACTGTTGCAGCCCCAGTTCCTGGCACCGTCACTGGCACATAGCGGGTACCCAAAAATATTGTTGAATGAATGAGGGGCAGAGTGGGAGTGAGGAGAGATGTTTGGGCTAATCTGAGAGGAAGGAAAAGGAAAAATTGGATGGGGGAGAGGTAGAAATGGGTGGGGGAGGGCAGCAGAGGAGGCACCCAATGAAGGTTTCACTCCAAGTGAAGGCTTGGGGAAACAGAATGGTAGAGCAGAGGCCAGGGCTGAACACCAGGGGAGAGTGAGGTGGCATCTCCTCCAGGAGCCGGAATGAGAAGACCTGATCCTCAGACAAGTGTGAGACCCACATGAATAATGAATCCAGCCACCTCCTGTGAAATCCAACCTCTGGCCCCAGCCCAGCCCTCCTTGCTCTATGCCCTGGGGATGCCCACCACCCAGGTCCTGCCCAAAGCCACAGCCGCCACCCCTCCCTTCTGGGCAAAACATTTGTTCCTTTCAACCCTAGGCCTCCACCCTTCATAAGAAAGGGGCACCACTCTAGCACTGTGGGGAGAAGGACTGGAACCAGGCCCAGCCACTGACCAGCTGAGTAAGTGACCTGTTTGTGAGTTGCTGTGCCTCTCTGAACCTCAGTTTCTTCTTCTTCAAAATAGGGATGAGAACAATGCCTGTCTACCTTCTAGTGGCTGTGGGAACGTCATAAATTGCCAAGCATAATTAAGAAGTAGGGTGGCCTGGGAAGCCCCTCCTGTAGCCTCGCTTCTCCCTGCCCCCACAGTTCTGCCCACCTTGATGGTCAGCATGATGTGCGTTTGGCCCTTCAGCACCTCCACGGCCTGGCTGTGGCTGATGTCGTCAAACCTGACACCGTTGGCCGCCAGGACCTTGTCCCCCACCTTGATGCCGTTCTCCTCGGCCAGCCCACCATGGTCCACTCTGAAGCCAGACAGGCATCAGTCTGATAGGCCCCTGGCCTGCCCTCCCTCACCCCACTCCAGACCCCCTTCTCTTGGACACAAGACTGTACCAGTCAAGCTCCTTGACCCTCCTACTGGGGCCTCCCGTCCCCTCCCAGGCCCTCACTGAGACAGGTGGTTGGCCAGGCCTCACTTGCTGACCATCCCCACATCCCAGCCTAGGCCCTACTCCATGCCCCATTCTCAGTTCTACCCCAAGACACTTCCTGCCTCAGCCCTCACTTGGACACGTAGATGCCCAAGCCAAACTCCTTGCCCCCACGGATGTTGAAGCCCAGGCAGAAGTCGTCAGAGGTTGTGTATAGGTGGACGATGCGCCGGACACCATCTTCTGAGCTGGTGTCAGACGGTGTCGAACCGCACTTCTCCACTACCAGGCGCCGATTCACCACATCCACCCTGGACAACAGCAGGGGGCCCTCAGGCGGGGTCCTCCATCCGCTGCCACCCACCACCCTCCCAGCAGCTCTGACAACTGCAGGGAAAGTGGGGGTTGCCTTTGGGGGACTCCCCAGGCCTGAGACCTGCAGTGGGACATAGGTTCATTAGCTGGGAAAGCAGCCTAAATCGCCTCTTTTTATTGAGCAGCTGCAATGTGCCAGGACCATTCCTTTTTTTTTTTTTTTTTTTTT